GAAGATTTGGATTTGTTTTACCTTCACAGTGTTATACTGAAACGCCAAATGAAATAGGTGGTTGAAAAAAAAGCAGTACAAGGAGATTAGACTCTCATATGAGACTATGATCACAAAATGTCAGGAAAGTTCCCGTCCTTTCTCTTTTTTCACAAATAGTAAATTTAGAATCTAATTCAGATATCAGAAGGATTACATTTATGATTGAAGGCTAATTTCATTAAGTTTTCTAGTAAGTTATTTTAAATGAAAATTCAACTAGAATGCGTTTTTATTAGAAAGATTAAATTTACGAGATCCAAGTGTTTCATCACGTATGTTTTTTAATTAAAAAAAGCACATGTTATCTCAACGGTAGGATGGTGGACATCCAAAAAAGAGGTTACGGGTTCAAAAATCAGAACACCACCTCCTAATGTTGACTCACGCTGATATTCCTGGTGCATGATGATTGTAAGACCGATACAATGAGGCTACTTTAAAACGTGGCTATATCCTTCTTTTATTACCTCTTTTTAAAACAACTAAAAATAAAAGGTAGTATTCATTTTTTTATAGTAGAAGGGTACTCGCATAATGCAGCGATACATCTTGATTTTAATATTATTTTTTTTGTCTCGGTTGATATTATAATACGGTTTTATATGATTTTGAGAAAACGATAATGTTTTTTATTTTTGAATAAAATATAAATCTGAAGATAACATAAAAATTTTAAAAAGATAAAATCGATATTAGTATCAAATTAACTATTTAATAGTTCTCGTTTTTAGGTGTAACTTCTTTAATTCAATTTTTAGCACAATTTAATTCAAAGTAATTTATTTTTCTCTAATAATATAATTTTTTATAAATATAATAATTAAACATTCTGTTAGAACTCAATGATTATCTTAATTATATTCTAGATTTTCTGTATTTAAAATGAATATTTATCATGTATTTAAATATGTTTATCTGTAGTTAATTACACAAATTCAAAAATTAATCTTTAATAAGTTGTACTTACACAAAATTACTTATAATCTTGAATTTTAAGTAATATCCATCAATAAACAGTACTTCATGTATAACAAATGGTTTTTAAGAGTTTTTGTCAAATACTTTATAATATAGTATAGATATAATATAAATATCTTTCATGATTTCAATTATCTAATTTTCTTTTATTTTTTAAAAACAATTATCTAAGCTCAACCACTAAACTTTGAGTTTAATTATTATAGTTATGAAAATATGAATACGAAAAAAAATAATCAATTCAAATATGAAACTTAAAAAAATATAATTAAAATATGCGAATTATTTGTGATTTCAACCTTTTTGGAGCCAAAAGCGTTATAATGGATGGTAAAAACCTTGTTTCATGATTCCAATTTGGGCACATGGAAATTTGAACAAATATCAAATATTAATGTAAATTAAGTCATAGTTGTGGTATGTAATTGACTAAAATTAAACTTCTTTTATTATTTTTTAATTTTTAATTACACAAAGAAAATCATCTTTGCTTAAAGTAATTACATAATAGAGTTTTCAAATTAAAGAAAGATGAAATATTCACATATGATTTTGAATTTTGATTCTTCATTTTAGAAGAATTTGTTAAAAAAATATTCGTAATCATAAATGAAATCAAAGCAAAACCTAGCAAATAACATACTTTTGATGTGGTTTCAATGTATTTTTTAAGAGAGACAAGACGAGCATTAGAAAGTCTCAATAAAGAATAAAAATCATTGATAAAAGGAAAATAATCAGTAGATGTTACAAAAAAAAACAAGAAAGAGGAGACGATGCCTTGAATGAGGTCAGTAACTAGGGTACATGTCTCTATGTAAATATGTTGCAATTCTTTTTACAGTTGATATGCATGGTTATGCTATTGTGTTCAAATTCATGCTCGATGTGTTATTTTAAGCAAAAAACAAATTACGGTGAAATGCATGAAATATTTTTATGTACTTGTAAGTCATACGCCGTGATGTATGTGTTGATCTGATAATAGGGAAACAACAATGGTGCGTTGACTAGTGTATTTCATTAAGAACCTCAATGCTAAGTTGATTGACGTGATTATGTATCGATAAGATAACCTGTGTACCTAGTGACTTGATATTATCGCCTATGTTTGACCTACTTAATACTCGATGTTCGAGATGTAATGATGTTTACGTAATTTGCATAAATGGTGATGACAATGTTATGCTCATTTTAATTTAAATTGATGCACTACTATATGTTATGAAATGTTCGTATGTGATAAATGTAACCATGAACTTACTGGCAGTGTGTATCTTACGAGAATTTAAAGTTGATCGGAGTTTAAAAAGAAAGAAGAAGGTTTAGAGGAATCTTTTATTTAGTAGTCATATTTTGAGCGTCATGAAACAGAGTTGCACAACATACTGTTTTTATATTCAATGTGATGATTTTCGTTGTTTAAGTTTGCAATTCAAGTTATGGCTTCATTGGAATATGCTATTGTTGTTATGTCATGAGAGCCTAAGAAATTGTGGTGTGACAACTGACAACTGACAACTGACATGAATATTTATAATACGTTCATTCTCAAGAAAGGTTGACACATCCAACTTCGATCTCTAAACTAATCTTAATTTTGCATGGTTCGTTTATTTATTTATAAAGATAGTACCTCCAAGTGACGAAAAGTGGTCATTATATTTTATACGTACTATAGTTCACAAGTTTAAATTTATGCCTTTTTTTATAACAATAGCAGAAAATAGGAAAAACCACTTAGATGTTGCACCCTCCCCCTTTATCTTTTTTAATGAAAAAATTGTTTTTACAATTAATATTTATTTTATATTATGTCATTTATTTTATCAGGATTCACCTCTACTTCTAGAACTTAAAATTTTGTCTCATAACTAAAAAGTCTCATAGCATTGCGAGCAAGCGCACTTGGGTTGTGCGAATTAGTTAAGTCTCAGGGGGACGTAGTGGAAAATCTCTTCTACTTCGTGTTTGAATCCAGGTGCTGCCAAAGCACTTGTAACCATAGAAGTTCACATGCGATGACCCAACTTATTCGTGGTCTCCCAGGAGATTAGTCGATCTGTGACTCTGCATAAGTTTGCTCAGAAGCCAACGGTTAAAAAAGGTGTGACGGTAACAAATGATCACCCGAACCAGATGAAGAGTGTGGTTCTTTTCTAAAATGTGATATGAAGAGAATGTGTGATCAATTTTCTCAACAAAAATATCACAACACTAAAATCATGAACCAATACACAAAACCCAATGGAAAAAAAATAAAACATTTGGTGGAGCAAACAACACAACATACCAATATTACATATATAGTAGACTCCCTTGTTTGTCTAGTATTCCACCTGATTCATACATTATCAAGGGAATTTGGAAATATTTGCATTTTAGTACTTTCTACATGTTTCTTAAATATGGGTTTATGTAATCATTTGGTAAACAAATATGTTACGTTCTTCTTGCATCTTATTTGATTCAGTTGAATCTTGAAGAGAGTTTGTTACTGTTTATGCTTTGTGTTATCACCCTTGATTTATCTTACTTTCTTTTTTTCGATACATTATGCATTATTCCCATCTATGCATGTAGGATAATGATTGGATTCAAAACAATAGCTACTGTAATATGTAAAATAAAAGTCCTTAACCATGTACGCTCTTGAATAGTCTCATGTAAAGTAATATCCTTGGAATTGTTTGAGAGGTAGCTAAAAGGTTTTGCTTAGTTTACTTCCAAGCAATCGGCGTGTTTCTTTTGGAAATTCTTTATCCAGTTTGGGAACAACTTTTGTATGGGTTAGGCAAATACCTGATATTAGCAATGACATACCAAGGCACTGTTTGGTGTTTTTCTATAAGGGGTTGTTACTTCTGCCACTCTTCATATTCGAAGTATGTATTGAAGGTTTATTATCAGTCCTAATTGTCTTCCTCTAGAGAAATCATAAGTCTGCGTCAATGGTTCCAAAAGATTGACTTGATATCGCTCCAGTGACATTGCGTTGGCTCTAAGCCAAATCTAGCTAACAAGTTCACTGAGAAATACAATATGCTGTCAATTGTATTATGTTAATTACAATAATACGCCTATTGTACTTAGATATGAAATTCCAGCTCCCAACACCTCTTCACCATCATCCTTTAGAAGAAATGGATTCTTCCTTATATCCAACACTTTAACCGATCATAAGAGTGCTAGCCGAATTTGCTTTATCCATAGTAAATCCCTAATAATTTTTTGGAGATATTCTCTCGGTGGATTAATATTCCACAAACTCGGTGTCCTAGCTCAAATAGCTAGAGAAAACCAAGTTTTACCAAGATCTTTCATCACAAATTCCGATTTCAAGTAGCTTGTGGTTTCTTTCATTTGATCAAGAGTGTTTATTATGTTCATAACATCGGCAAACAAAACCATGATTGAAAATTTAGAACTCGTTTTCTTTGTAAATATGCAAGGGCACAATTCATTCTTCTTATATCCATTTTCAATCAAGTATTCACTTAGATTGCTTTAATTTGTAGAGTGAGCATTTTAGTTTTATCACAAAAACACTTGGTGGTTTAGAGTTACTTGATTTGGGTAATATAAGACCATTAGATACTTTCACGTATATCTCCGAATCTCAATCTCCATAGAGATACATAGTAACTACATATATAAGATCCTACTTGGCTAATTAAATAGCAGAATGTTATTACTTTTATGATGGGAGAGTAATAAAGTACGTAAATTCTCTATAATCAATATTAACTTAATTCGTTAATTTAAGTTGGAGTTCACTTTTTTCACATTTTTAGTAAGTTTTGTGTTTTTAGCATTTATTAGTCAATAATTCAATTTAACGACGGGAGTGGAGTATTGCACGTGCTACACGCGGCCTGGTTCGCCGCTCTTCCTTCTCCATAAATAATCCCCACCGCTTTCCCTTTTCTTCTCACCCCTTCACTCCATCTCTACTCAAAACCTCCCTCTCCACCTCAATCATGGACGTTCGTCGGCGTCCGCTTAAGAAACTCCTCCACCGCTCCTCTAAACCATATAAATCCGGCCAACTCCTCAAACACCAAGACCAACAAAAACCCTCCGACGCCTTCCCACTCCCACTTCACGTCACCAATGCCCTTTTCTTCGCCATGTTCTTCTCCGTCATGTACTTCCTCCTCCACCGTTGGCGTGACAAGATCCGAAACTCCACCCCTCTCCATGTCGTCACCTTCTCGGAGATGACTGCTCTAATCTCCCTCCTCGCCTCCGTCATCTACCTCCTCGGCTTCTTCGGCATTGATTTCGTCCAATCCATTCTCCGCCCTTCTCCGGCGTCATGGGTAATCGAAGATGATAACGCAGAAGAAGATACCCCGGTGAAACCATGTGGACAGGCGTTGATTCCCCACATTTTGCCCACCAACCTCACGTCGGAAATGGAGGTGGAGAAGAAGAAACCACCTCCCACCATCGACTACAACCCGGAGGAGAACGAGGAGATCGTGAAGCAGGTGGTGGCGGGTACCATTCCTTCCTATGCTCTCGAAACAAAGCTGGGGGATTGCAGGCGTGCAGCATCGGTTCGGCGGGAGGCTCTTGAAAGGATCACCGGAAAATCCTTAACCGGGATGCCACTTGAGGGTTTTGATTACGAGTCCATTTTAGGGCAGTGCTGTGAGATGCCGGTGGGTTATATTCAGATTCCGGTGGGGATTGCAGGACCACTGTTATTGAATGGGGCTGAGTTTTGTGTACCAATGGCGACGACGGAGGGGTGTTTGGTGGCTAGTACCAATAGAGGTTGTAAGGCAATCTACATGTCGGGTGGTGCCACGTGTATGCTGCTGAAAGACGGGATGACGAGGGCGCCGGTGGTGAGATTCGGTAGCGCGAAGAGGGCGGCGGAGTTGAAGCTTTTCTTGGAAGATCCGGAGAACTTCGATACTCTTGCTGTCGTCTTTAACAAGTCGGTATTCTCTCTCCCCTTTCCAATTACTTCAACGTTTTATGAATGGTTTGCATTCTAAGAGAAGAAACATATCATTGTCTCACCTTAAAAAAACCATTTCATCATCACACCTTAATTAAAATCGTTACAACCACATAAGTGTTTAATTATATAATATATAGTATGTATGCACGATTTATATTTCCATGATGACCATAAAACTGTATGATATAGTTAAAACAGATGGATAGTTTCTATCCTTTCTTTTACATCCATATATATAGATCCTTTTTGTTAAAAAAAATACAATTAATCTAAAATTTTAAAGTAGGGTATGGTCAAATTATTTTAAATTTAGACTTCAATTAAAAATTTAGATACAGATATTGGACGTCAAAAGAGATGATAAAAAGGGAGTACATTAATTTATTCGAAAGAATGAAAAGTTCAATTTTGTAAAGCAAGAGTAGGAGTCGGTCACTAGGATATGAGAGCATGTAGACGGGACTGCGGCGTTTTCTTGACTTTTGGAAGTCAACTTTTTTTATTTGTAGTATTTCATCGAAGGATAAAATTTGGTGTTAGGAGCAGAGTTAAAATGACAAGCGTTAAAAGAGATTTGGACAATTGAACATCTTTAATTTCAAAGTGACCCGTAAATCATGTTTGATACGGAAATTTGATCTGATACATTTCGGTACATCTCATCCTAATGTGTTTTTAAGGATATAAATTTATTCATACGCTTCTCACTTTAACTTACACTCTCGTCATAATCCAAACCTTAATCTAACAAGGGTTCATCATATTATATATTGTTTTATTAATACATACTCCACTTAAAATTAAATCTTTCTTTAATATAAGTATTATAGAGCCTTATTTGGAAAGAAAAAAAATTGATAACTGACAATCTCAATCGTTTTCACACGAAACTCGCTTTCAAATACATCAATGTAAAAGATATTTTTTTGACTCGCTTCGTGATTGAGACTAGCGAAGGTTTGAGATTAAACCCAAAGGTTGTCTTGTATTTGGTCAAATTCATCTCACTCCCACAAAAGCTATGTATTATGTATACACCCTTATTAGTAATATTAGTTTATTAAATTCATAAGATATATCAGATCCAGTTTGGAGATTATGGTATTGTTTGATTATGTAGTGTAATATGCATATATGATAAAATAAAGAAAATAAAGATTAAATTTTTTTTCTTGAATTAATACATGCAGATCAAGCAGATTTGGGAAATTACAAAGCATCAAATGTGCTATTGCTGGGAAGAACACATACATTAGGTTTTGTTGCAGTACTGGTGATGCCATGGGGATGAACATGGTCTCAAAGGGTGTCCAAAATGTTCTTGATTACCTTCAGACCGATTTCCCTGATATGGACGTCATGGGCATTTCCGGTATTAGTTTCATTTTTCATGAATCCCTTAGATCTATGTGTGTGTGTGTATATATATATATATAATTATGTGTATATGTGTATAGGAAACTATTGCTCGGACAAGAAACCGGCAGCGGTGAACTGGATAGAAGGGCGTGGGAAGTCAGTGGTATGCGAGGCGGTGATCAAGGAAGAGGTGGTGAGAAAGGTCCTGAAAACCAACGTAGCCGCCTTAGTTGAGTTGAACATGCTCAAGAATCTCACCGGATCCGCCATGGCTGGTGCACTTGGTGGCTTCAATGCACATGCTAGCAATATAGTTGCCGCTGTATATATAGCCACCGGTCAAGACCCAGCTCAAAATGTCGAGAGTTCTCACTGCATCACCATGATGGAAGCCATTAATGACGGCAAAGACCTTCATATCTCCGTCACTATGCCTTCCGTTGAGGTATATATAATATATATCAATCTCTCTCTCTCTCTCTCTCTCTATATATATATATACATATATATATATATATATATATTCTCTTTAATTTATAAAATTAAATGGGTTTTATATAAATATTTCAGGTTGGAACAGTTGGAGGGGGTACACAGTTGGCATCACAGGCAGCATGCTTGAACCTATTGGGTGTGAAAGGTGCAAGCAAAGAAGAACCAGGGTCGAACTCAAGGGTGTTAGCCACCATAGTAGCTGGCTCGGTTCTTGCTGGGGAGTTATCTTTGATGTCAGCAATTGCAGCTGGTCAGCTGGTCAAGAGCCACATGAAATACAACAGATCAACCAGAGATATGACCAAATTAGCTCCTTAATTAATTAGTCCCTGCATGCTGCGCGCATGCTTTCATCTATTCATGGTTTACGTTGTATAATTTGCAAGAATTTATAATAAAAGTTGTACTTATAAATTGAACACTCACAGTCGATGGAGATATATTATAATGCGTATTGTATTTCGGTTTTTCTTAGAGACGCCATGTGAGCTATATAGGTCTCATTATAAGTGTATAAAGGTGGCACAATGGCCGCGGGGATGGTGGCGGTGGCGGTGGCGGTGGCGGTGGTTGGTGGTCGTGGTGGGAGGAGAAAGAGATATGCAGCATATATGGTGTTGGTTTTCTATGTTCTTCATTTGTGGTTTACTTTTCTATTTATTATATTATAATTCTTGAAAAATACAATCATTTGCGTCGGATATATTTTTATATACGAAACATCGTATGATAAAAAGAGTTAAGTAAGTAGCATAAGAAGGGATTTGTATTCTTGATCATTTTTAATCACAAACTGATCAATGAATCAGCGGTTGATACGGGGATTGATCTACTAGAAAACAAATGACTTCTACTCACAAAGATCACTCTGGGAAATTTCCGTAGATGATTACCTACAGGTTACCCAGAAAATACCAACGGTTCAGTAAGATCCGATATTTTTCAAGAAAATACCAAAGGATCTATCACTGATTTGAATTATCCACCAACTTTTGTGACGGTTCCATGACGAATCACGCTTTACCGATAGATTTCCTTAGGAAAAGTCCGTGGGCAAAAGTCTTACATTTAGTAGTGATTCGGTTCATCTCAGTGCATCTATCCTAATGTGCATCCAATGGTGGAGATTATATCTTACGTTTTTCACCTTAACTTTTCTTCTCACAGGAACTCAACCCTACTTCTATATTCTTCTTTTTTTAATTGTTTAAGGACTTTTTTTAACAATTCAGAATTATTTATTATAAGATATCTATACTATATTATAAAAAATTTGGCTAAAACTCTTAAAAACAATTTTTTATACATAAAATACTGTTTATTGATGCATATTACTTAAAATTCAAGATTACAAATAGGATATGCATGAATACATCTTACTAAAACTTCATGTTTAAATTCGTGTAACTAACTATGGATAAACATAATCAAATACATGATAAACATCATTTTAAATATAAAAAATCTATTATTATATAATTAAGATAATCATTGAGTTCAAACAGATTACTTAATTATTATCTTAAAAAAATTATTTTATTAAATCAAAAATAAATTAGTTCGTTTTTAAATTTCAATTAAATTATAATAAAAAATTGAATTAAATAAATTATACAAAAACGAGAACTTTTAAATAGTTAATTTGATACTAATATTGCTTATTTTTTTTCAAAATCTTATAATATCTTCAAATTTATATTTCATTCAAAAACAAAAACATTTTCGTTTTCTCAAAACCATATAAAATCGCATTATAAGATCCATAAAACCAAAATATAAAATAAAACATTAAGATCAAGATGTATCTCGTTGTATTGTAAGAGTACCTTTTTAGTATATCGAGATGAATGAAGAAAACTTTGATAAGTTGAGTTGCAAAATTCAAGTAAAATCCTAGAAAGAATTTGTTGGAGGCATCGAATTGTTTTGATCGGAGAATTAAGCAATTGGGCCAATAATGTAACCAACACTTTTGTTGAAGGTTAACGTAATTTGGGTCAATCCAAGACAAAAGAAATTAAATCATCTCTCATGTTCATGTGGCCCATCATTTTGGCAACTTAATTGGTGTTTATGATATGGATATTATAAACTAGTGTGGAAACTCTGCTTTATACGGTAGCATAAGTAATTTAGTTAATGATCTTAAGGTTGTCTATGTAACACCCCAAAGCCCAAAGCAACGAACTAGCCCAATAATTTCGAATCCAACTTAAAACCATGGTGAAAGTTATTAGTAGCCCACTACTTGGGACTTATAAGAAGCAAACAATTCTCATTTTCTATCTATGTGGGACGAGTTGTTACAATCTATATAAATATATGTTAGTTGTTAATTGAATCATTAATAAATAGTATTCAAATAATTCGAAAAAACTAATAAAATCTAATTAATGAAATGTTAATATATATATATATATATATATATACACTATATTATAAAACATTTGACATAAACTCTTAAAAAACTATTTTTTATGCATGAAGTATTGTTTATTAATGCATATTACTTAAAATTCAAGATTACAAGTGATTTTGTGTAAGTATAATTTATTAAAACTTCATTTTTAAATTCGTATAACTAACTGCAGATAAACATAATCAAATACATTATAAATATTTATTTTAAATATAGAATATCTAAAATATATAGGGAAGCAATATTTTTCAAATTTGTATGCCATATATATATATATATATATATATATGTGTGTGTGTGTGTGTGTGTATATATATATATGTTTTGTATATGTTATTCAATGATATTAAAAAAATTACATTCATATCAGAAGAAGAAAAATCATATATATTAACTAATATTGCATAAAGAGTTTGTAACCAGATATTCAAAATAGAACTTGAAAGGTTTTATAATTTCGTTTTAACGGTGAGTCTCTTAACATATGTGAATCAATGAAATCGTGAGTGATGTAATTACGTAAGTTTGTAAAAATATAAAATTTAAAGTTAAAAGTGTAAATACACAAATAATAGAAAAAAAAAATAAGAATGTCAGATTTTAAAAAAATAAATTTAAAAAGTCTCACCTTGTAAAAAAAACACATCCATATTATGCATAAAGGCCAACAGGTTTTCTGACGTTTTTATATTTCTTTAATTCTTAGTTTTCTAATTAACCAACGGGTTAATGATATGTTCTAGAATGATTAAAAGATCTCGTATACATGAAATATTTGTTTTCTAATCTATCACATGATACAAATATTTTAAATATGTTAACTTATGGATTTACGTCTTGTACAAAACCAGATATTAATTATGTTAAATCATGACTTAAAATATGTATTTAGAGATTTTTACACCCAAAATACATGATATAAAGCAATAGTTTTGTCATTATTGGCAGAACGTACGCTTATTATATTTTCACTTTAGTTATAAGCCAGAGTATCCATATCTCTCTTTGTATCGCCACATATTATTAAATGTTTAACTAATAATCAATTATGTTTTTACAGCTGTTAAGTAAAATGTAAATGATCTTACATGGAGGCATAAGGGAAGACATATCCTATGAAATAGCGTTTCTTGATTGAAGGCGATCTTCAAAATTGACATTTTGATAATTAAGACGGGAACTGATAATTAAACCTAGAACAAAAACATCAACACACTGTAAATATAGAAATAATACAGATTATTGAAAGGACGGTTGAACGTGAAAGAAAAGCTAAAGACGAACAAGGACAATGTGGAGATGCACTCACCTATTCCTAAATAACGAAAATAATATTACTTAATTGAGAAAATGTAACATCGTTAAGATTCATGACTTTTATTTCTGTAATCGCTCTATTTCTATATTATCAACTTTAAAAAATAAAATTTCTGAAAATTATTCTGAGATAATTTGACTTTTAAGGATGTGGTTCGATTTTCGTATAAATGAATAGTCAAACAATCCGACATTTTAAAGCATCGATCACACCAAGATGGAAAATCCACACAGAAAAAGTCAAAGTCAATGGCGGAATCCCTTCATCTCATCCACATTCCAATTAAACATAATCCAAATATTGAATCGTTAATTATTTGTAATGCTGAACTAATTTAATTTAATTTATTTATTATTAGATGTATTTTTATTTATTAATTTCTTTTTACATATATTAATATTAAGATTTAATTTTTTATATATTTGTCTATACTATATTATAAAGCATTTGATAAACACTCTTAAAAATCACTTTTTATGCGTAAAATATTGTTTATTAATGTATATTACTTAAAACTCAATATTGCAAGTAAATTGTGCATAAATACAACTTATTAAATCTCTATATCTAAATTCGTGTAACTAACTGCAGATAAACATAATCAAATACATGATAAACATATCATACTAAATATAAAAAATCTAAAATATAATTAGGATAATCATTGAGTTCTAACATAATACTTAATTATTATCTATTAAAATATTTATATTATTAAACTTAAATTAAATTATAATAAAAAAATTAATTAAAGAAATTACATAAAAATGAGAACTTTTAAATAAGTGATTTGATATTAACATTGATATATTTTTTTTTCAAATTTATATTTTATTAAAAAATAAAATCATTAATGTTTTCTTAAAAACACATGAAATCGTATTATAACATCGATAGAGATAAAAAATAAAATATAACATTAAAACCGAGATGTGTCTCGCTGCATTGTGCGAATACTCTTCTAGTTTTAATATATATATGAGCCCATTCAAGGGAGAACTGGTTAGTTTGTGGTAACCGTGAGATCCAATCTCAACCACAAATCAATAGATAAATTAGGAAATTTTTAATTTTGGTAATTTTTAATTAAAATTTTAATGCAAGGACATTTTAGGTATTTTATCTCCTCTCTCCTCTCTTCTCTCTCCGTCCCCGTCTTCCGGCCACCGTCCTCCAACCTCCGGCCGGCGGCCACCATCCTCCGGTGATACCACAGTGTGATACTCAAGCACATATAAGATGCATTGTGATATCACTGTGTTACATATTCGATTGACCGCACAAACGACCACAGTGTGATACCCAATCACATATATGATGCATTGTGATACCACTGTGGTCACCAGAGGATGGTGGCCCGAGGATGGCGGTCGGAGGCCGGGGGACGGAGATAGGAGAGAGGAGAGAAAATACTTAAAATACTCTTGCCTTAAAATTTTAATTAAAAAATATCAAAATTATAAATTTTCTAATTTATCTATTGATTTGTGGTTAAGATTGGATCTCACGGTTACCACAAACTAATTAGTTTTCATTTTATTAAGCCTCTATATATATATATATATATATATATATATATATATATATATATATATCATGACCGGCTGACCGGGTTTATATAAGTCAATGATATCTTCAATGTTGCTAATCTGTGACCGGAAGAATCCATTGGACAACATTTCTTTAACAC